CTTATCTCAAATACAGAGGGTTCTTAAAATACCTGGAGGCCACACATGCTCACGGAGCATCAGCTACCACATGCACTTCTCTCCATGCATCACCCATGGAGAAGGGGTTTGGAGTAATGCAGCTGAAGAGATGAAGAAACTGAAGCCCAGAGAAGCTGATGCACTCCTGAGGGTAGGAGCAGCAATGTGTGAAGAATGAAGTTAGAATCACAGGGTTTTAATCCATAGGCTCTCACATGATGTGAGGACACATGGGTGCAGCTCGTCTCCCCTCACACCCCACTCATAGTGATAATGTGCAGGGAGCAAACTACAGGCCTAAAATATGGATTGGGGACCCACAGGAAGCCAAACTGTGAATGAAAGAAAAGAGATAAAATTAAAGGTTTGTGGAGAAATAGTGTCTCTGAAAGATGGAGTGTGCAGTGATGGGTAGGTGGGGCCAGGTATGGCCACAAGCAGCCAGGAGCAGCTATGCTCAGCCATGCACAACTGGATGTGGCAAGCTGACACCATGTATGGCCAACTACAATTTCTGTAGACCAAAGGGTGAGATTAGAATTAGCAGGTTTGCAGGGGAATTTCTGCAGGATGTCAGCTGTCTGATGTATCAGCCACCCCACAGCCCTACTCATTGAGGAGCTGACTAGGGGGCATAGAGTGGTGTCCTTCCCAGCCTTACAGAAGCACAGCATAGCATGACACCCTGCACGTTCCAGATCCATCCCATCTCTCCAGAATAAAAGAGGATATATTTGTTGCCCCTAACACTTTACACTGACAACTACTTTCTCTTCCTTCCATGTTTTACTGACATCCCCTGACAAGAACCTATAACTCCTTCATGAACAATGACCATAGTAGCACCTGAAATAAGACAAAGATTCTTGTTTTCAAGGAGACTTCTATCCCACTAAATTTCATCAGGCACCTCTTGTGTGCCTAGAGGGGAGGTGTTATAGCAGTTAGCCAGAAAAATCCCTTATTGGTCATGGAGGTCCCACTCATGGAGAAACTGCTGCCTGCTGCAGGGGTTCCTTGATGCCCCAGCCAGAGAAGACACTGGCAAGCAGCTAAGCTAAATGGCCTCACGCTGTGGGGCTGAAGACTCCTTGTGCCTCACACCGTGGGGCTGAAAATTTAACATCCCATTGTTTTATGTTCTTGGTCATAAAAGGAGAAAAATTATCAGAAGGTACATTGGGCAATAAATTATATGTATCAGCATAAGTAAATGGCATGGAAAATTATCTGTTTAGAAATTAGTTATTAAACAATTTGGCCCACTTGACAATGGGAGACAATTTATTTAACATATCTGACAAGCAATCCAGCACAACTATTATAGTAAATTCTTCTTTTGCTTTTTTAGATGTTTCCTTTTTTTTTTTTTAAGAAGTTTCTTAGGAACGTTTTTAAATGAAGTTAATTGTGTTAAGGAGTTTCTAGGTAGAAAAAGCAGCTGGCTGGTGGCTCTCAACCGCCTTAGGTAATTGTCTAGCTGAAATAATAAGTTTTAGTGTAAGGTTTGGTGTTTTATCTATTAACCTTGAAGGCTACTGTCTGGTTGAGACCCATAGGAGACAGTAGCCCATGGGAATAAAATACACTAATTGTATCTGCTTTGCACATAATGATGTAATTTTTCTGCTTGCTAAATGTGAATAAATAAAGACCTGCTGAGTCTCTCGGCAGCAGATACTTGCACCTCATCCAGTGTCAGTGTCTCCTCACTACCTCATCCCCTTCCCATTAGCCCTTAAGTTTTCGCCGACGCTGTCTCATCATTTCAGGAACGACTGACACGTCATTTTGCCGAGGCTGGACCCGGCAGCTGCCCTTGCTCATAATCACCTGCTTAAGTCCTGAGAGGCAGAACATGGTGAGTCCAAGGAGCCATGGGCACTCCCAGCCCAGACCTTATCACCAGAGACTAGATGTTCTGTGATAGTTAAAATTCACCAATTAAGTCACTTAGGTTGTATTACCAGCTGTTTGGTCAATGCTGCTCTAGATGTTTCTTGGAACATATTTTTTTAGCTGTGACTACCCTTTAAATCAGTACAGACTAAGGAAAACCTACTACCCTTCTTACTGTGGGTGGGCATCATCCAAACAAAAGCCTTAAGAGCAAAGTGTACGATTCCCAGCAAAGACAATTCTGTCTCAGGAACAAACCACAGACACACTCCCTGAGTTTTCAGGCAGCTGGCCTCACCTGGGATTCTGAATTCAAGACTGAAATACCAACTTTTAACTTGAAATCCTCCTCTGCTGTCCTGACCTACAGATTTCATGGGCAGGACCCGGGATTGATCCGGGACATCAACTGACTGAGACTCTGCTCCTGGCTCAGGTCTTGGCTTGTCCTCTCCCATCCCTGGCTCTCAGCTCAAGTCCTACTGGAGGCTCTTTGTGCATAGGGTGCCACATGTTAGACATGACTGCAGATGACCTAAGACACCGAGGCTTTAGCTGAACCGAACTGCAGCTAACTCAATTCTGTCTGTGTGTGGTGTCTGGTGTTTAATACCTAACAGGCACCGTGGGCCTCTGGATGCTAAATTTTGAGTTTCTGTTACAGGAGAAGACAATCAGGGGCTTCCCTGGTGGCGCAACAGTTACGTCTCAGCACTATGAAGCTATTGGCAGCCACTGGAGCAGGAGTTCAATCCCCCATCAGGGAGCTATGCACATGGCGCCACAGATCTCTCCTTCCTCGGCCACTGTTCTCCTCTCAGAGTATTTGAGTCAGTCTGCCTGTTTGGCTCCCCACTCTGTCTCTGGTGAGTCCTCTCACACCCCATATGTCTGCCCTGTACCCCATCTCTTGTAGGCATAAATCTTAAAAAAAAATGAGACATTCGAGGGCATTTCAGTCCTCTGGAAGGAACTCCTGGGGGCTATTGGGGATTGTCCTGAGTCACATCTCACTGCCTAGGAGGCACAGTGGCTTGAGGAACAGACATCAGGTGCATGACAGGACCCCGGGGCAGGGAGCAACACTTCCCCAGGAGGCAGCTCCAACTTGGCAGTGTTTAAATGCTCTGGTCTGTTTGGTATCCAGCAGATTGGTATTCCCCAAACCAGCCGTTACTCTGTTCGCTATTCTGATGACTCCCACTTTCTCTGTGAGTACCTAGCCCACAATTTTCAAACACACTGTGCTGCAGGGGGCCTTGCTGCCCCATCCAGGTAAGACACTGGCAAGCAGCTAAGAAAAAGGGCCTCACAACGTGGGGCCGAAGCTCAAAGAGCCTTACACTGTGGGGCTGAAAATTTTACGTCCCTTTGTTTTTTTGTTCTTGGTCATTTAAGAAAAAGCTTCTCAAAAAATACATTGGGCAATAAAGTATATTTATAATAATATTATAAGCACATGCCACTGAGAATTATCTGCTTAAAAATTAAACACTGTAAATTTGGCCTGCCTGACAATGGGAAAGTATTTGTTATACATGAATATGCCTGACAAGCAATCCAGGACAATGATTATAATAAGTCCTTCTTCTTTTTTTTTTTTTTTGAAGTTTCTTATGAAAGTATTCAAATGAAGTTAACTGTGTTAAGGAGTTTCTCGGTAGAAAAAGTTCAGAGATAGCTGAGATGCAGCTGGTCTCTGGCTGAAGGCCATTTGAATAGAATAGTCTTTGGATGCTTAGGCTTTAGCTGATAGGAGTGTACTGACAGCTATCAACTGTCTTGGGTAATTGTTTTGCTGAAATAATGAGTTTTTTTTTGTAAGGCTTAGTTTTTTTTTTTATCTATTAACCTTGAAGTTTGCCTTCTTGCTGAGAGCACGTAGCAGCCAAAAGTCTATGGGAAAAGAATTCACTGATTGTTTCTGCTTTGCTTCCATGCACATAATGATGTAATCTCACTGCTTGCAAAAATGAATAAATAAAAAGCTGCTGAGTCCTTCAGTAGAAGATACATGCACCTCATCCAGTGTCAGTGTCTCCTAACTACCTCATCCCCTGCCCCTCAGCCCCTTTCACTTCACCTAAGCCGTCTCCTCCTTTCAGGGACTCCTGACATGACATTTTGCCATAAGCTGGTCTGCAGCAACCCTGAACTCCTTCAAGGAGGCTATCACCCTGCAGTGCCTGTGCTTGGCTGCAGTGTTGCAGGTTTGCGGATTCTAGTCAGTGTCTCCACAAGATCCCACTGCTTCTTCCTGACAACTTCCAGAGGAGTTACAGCCTCTGGCTGAGCCACAGTCTCTGCCTTGGCTTGTGGGGTGGGAGGCACAGCCCAGCTATCTCACAAGGAAGAAGTGGAGGGAAGTGGACTGTGCTCTGGGTTCAACACTGGAGCTGCCTGGGCTTGAGTGTCTTGTCCTGAGCCTGTAACATGTGATAGGCCCAGGGCATTTCTTTGGCACTGCCATGACCTGGGAGGGTTGGGACATCTGTCACACCTGGGGTTCTGTCCCAGGAAGGGCCCCAGCGAAGGTGTAGGGTGAGGCTCCCCAACAGGCTGGGGCGGGTCTTCTGAGCACTCACTAGTGAACTGGTTACACCTCTAACTGCACTGCTGGCTCATGAGGACCCCTCATGACTCACAGGGATCTCCCCAGCTGAAAACACTCTTTCCTTGAGTGACAGGCTCAGCAGAGGCTCCTCCATGCCCGTTTGCCTGGAGGAGTCAGGGTGGCCGCGGTCAGGGGGTGGGTGGTGATGCTGGCTGTGAGCTTGCTGGTTGTTGGCCCTGGTTTATCATCTGGCCCTAGGGACCGCAGGCATATATATGGGCATGTAGGTTTCACTTATACATTGGTTTATGGTCCCTCTTAGTTCATCCTGTGCATCCATGCATTTCCCAAAGTAAGCCTCATGGTGGACACTGCTCTTGCCTACAAACGCAGTCTGTGTGTGCTCAGGGTGTGTGTTCCCCATGGCCTATTGAAGGAATGCATGTGTGGTCTGTTGTGCAGTGCAGGCCTGGATGTGGCGCCTGGTGGCAGTGGGGTGGGTGTGTGGAACATTCCTGGATCCCTGATGGTTTTGGTGCTCACGGTACGGGTGGAGCTCTTGCTGGAGCATCCCCCTAGTCCTTGCTCCTCTGGGCAGCTTCTTCTAGACCTGCAGAAGTGTGCCATGGAGATGCTCCAGGAGCATGGGGCACCCTTGGCTGGTGTGTCAGGCCTCTAAAGCGGCCCGTGTCCCAGAAGCCACAGCGGGAGCTCGAGAGAGTGGTTATAGTGGAGCAGGTGGCCTACCTCACAGCTTCAGACACTCAGGGAGCTCATGCCCACATACCCGCTGCATTCATCAAGAGGTGCTGCAGCCACTCTCCAAGAGGCTGGCCCCACAGGGGCCCCAGCCACCAGGATAGGAGCCCAGCCCATTGAGAGACCTGGATGGTACACCTGTTTCAGCTACCTGGCAGCGCTGGGCAGGCCCCTGGCCATGCCATTCCTGGCACACCTGGACTTGTGCCTGGACCACCTGTCTCTTTCACACAGCCCCTGCACCTTGGCAGACAGACCTCTCAGAGGTGCGCCCACAGACACCCAGGGGACAACTGGTGAGCATGTAGTCTCCAGTGCCCCCTGCCAGGAACCCCCTCACCCTCCTGCTCTCGCTGCCGCCATGGGGAGCTCTGTTCCCATTCTCTGAAGTTCACCCCCCAGAAACTGATGGACAAGCCACCCCAGCTCAACCAGGATGAAAATTCTACCAGATACTGTCCCTGCTGGTGGCGGCTGCATCTTTTCCGTCCTGTGCATCTCTGAGGGTGGGTTGTGATGTGGCTGCGCCTGAAAGGCATCTGGTTCATCCTCCAGAGTTAGGATCTTTAAGCAGGTCCTGGGGCGAACCTGCAGCATCCTGGGTCAGGGAACCCCTAGTGAGCTCGGGACTAGCCTTTCCCTTGGGGTAATGGGTGCCCACAGTGCCAGGGAGTGCCCCTTTCTGGCGGGGGCAGACAGGCTTTCCCCAAGCACTGGCTCTTTGTCATTGAGATTACCTTTAGTGTGAGACCACAGGGAGGGAAGGCCTTGACTGACTGACACTGCTCTTTCCAGGGTCGAGTGTGTGATGGACATCCCCACCATGGTGAAGATGGTGCCCATCAAGATTGTGCACACGGAGAGCTAGCCGGAGAAGGCGAGCCACCTGCACAGCTCAGCAGGCTTGAGAAGGACCAGCTCAGGATGCTGTGCATGTTGGAGCAGTCCTACTCCAGCTTCTGCATGTACAGCCACCAGGGTGCCCAGCCAGTGCCCCCTGGCCTGGACAACTGTGCCTCCCCTGCCGTGCTCAGCTACATGAAGGCTAAGGAGTGTGAGGCCGTACAACCAAAGTTGGAGGAGCTGGCCTGGGAGGTCATGGGCAAGGACAAGTCCCTGCCCAACATCCTGGACCCCCGCGTGAAGATGAGGACTGCCATGGACCTGATGGACAGCATCTTCCCCAAAGATGGGCACCTCGTGGAGGAAGCTCAGCAGCAGAGAAAGCTGCTCCCCAAAGCCCCCTCTTGTTGGCCCCAGAGGAGAAGTGAATGTGCCCTGTGCCCCAGTTCTGACCCCGGAAGTCCCTGGGGGTTTTAGGTTTGGGGATCTGCTGTCTGCTTGACCCTTCTGAAAGAGAAACTGAGGGAGACAGGCCTCATTCCTGGGGGTGTTGACCTAGGGGCTTGACAGTCTTGACAGCCCTACCTGCTCTTTCTTGGTGGCAGGCCAAGGTGGTTGAGGGAGACACCCACACCTGCTCCTCCACTAGGCAGCAGTTGTCAACCTGGGGCCTGTCTTACCCAGGGATTGGCGGCCAGATCTGCACACCTAAGCTGTCATAATGGCAGAGTCATACCCAAAATCCAGGGTCGGGGTCAGGGTGCTGTGCCACACCCCAAAACACAGGCCACCACAACAGAGTGTGAAAATCTCAGGTGCCTGAAATGTCAGGTGCCCGTGAGCAGAAATTGGCACTGAGGTCCAGGTCCCCACAAGCATCTGCGTAAGGGGTGCCCTGCGGGGCAGCGGAGAGGGAACAGGAGGGCAGATGGACCAGACCAGAGAGCAGGCCCTGGTGGCGGCTTGTGAGATGATGGGGGACACATGGGCATGCTGGTGTCCCCACAGAGCACTGATACTGGTTGTTGTCCTGCTCCCAGTGAAGGATATTAGCCATGCCACTTCACTGCCCCTTCCGCTCTGGAAAAACAATGCCCATCTTCGTCAGCAAGCTGTTTGCAGTTCTAACTCTGCCACCTGCTCTTGGCTCTCACTTTTGCTATGTCACATACCTGCCTCTGCTAGGCCACCTTTGGCCGGTCCAGCCTGGGCTGAGGGGCACAGGCACAGAGACATCCCTGCTGACCTGCTCCTGTGCTTTCCTGGAAGGGGGAGCCAAGCATGCCTGCTGTCAAGCCACTGCTCACCAGCTCCGCCTACTACAGCACATCAAACCCCAAGGCTAAGCTGTTGATCAAGATGAAGGACTTGCAGGACCAGCAGGAACCTGAGGAGGACTCAGCAAGTGACTTGGTCCATGACCTGTCGGTGAAGATGGTAGGATGGCAGAGTGCATGGCACTTCCCTTCAGGGGCTCTACTATGGGCGCTCCACTTTCACCCTGGACACCTTGTCTCCACAGTGGGCAAAGATTGACAGCAACTATCTGTCCTGGGGAGGCTGACATCCTCATGAGACAGAAATGTACACACACCAGTCAGCAAGCTGCAGCCCGGGAGCCATATCTGGTCACCTGTCATTGCAAATAAAGGGTTATTCAGACACATCAGTTCATGGGCAGATGGTGTCTCCTGGCTTTGGCCATAGCAGCACAACAATGTCACTGCAATGGTGACAATGCAGCCTTTCAAGTCGAAACTATTTCCTACTTGGCCCTTTGCAGCATACATTTGCCAACCCTAATGTAACCTGTTGGTGGTACAAAAGTGAAAACCAGGTGAAGTGATAGAGAGAGCAGGAGGGTGATGGTGGAGGAAGCACAGATGAAAGGATGATTGGACAGGGAGATGGAGTACCCGGAGTGCAGCCCTGTGAGTGTGCTGGCTGGCCAGGCAGGGCCCAGCGAGTGGAGAGGATGTGGTGTGGGATGTCAGATAAGCTGCAGAGACCAGTGGCTGGATGTCTGTGTGGCCAAGCAAGGGAAGCTCAGAGAAGGATCAAGGACTAAAGAGCAGGTGGCTGTGAGCTCAAGGTAGGGACAGAATCACCGCCACCAGTGCCAGTGTCACTGCTCCTACCCAAGCTTTAATGTAGATACATATGTGCCAGCTGCCGATGATCTGTAGAGCAGGACCTGAGACAAATTTCACAGACCTTGGCTCTGTCCCACTGCTCCCTGCTTCTCCCACCTTACTGGTATTGACAGCCCTGCTTACCTCCCCAAACACTCCCTTCACCCCCAATGGGTCCCACAGGGATGAACAGTGTGCTGCCATCCATGTGTTGCCTCGTCTGCCCTGGAGACAGGTGCTGGTGTCCCCTCTGGAGCAGCACTCTTGAGTCCCACCCTGTCCCCACAGCAGGAGCTCATTGAGAGCCTCAGCCACAAGCTAGAGGTGTTCTGGGAGGCCAGCAAGAGCCTGCTGGAGGACAACCAGGCCAACTACATGCTTGGGGAGGCGGTGGAGGCCACCACAAGACTTCTGCAAGACCAACGAGTTTGACAAGTTCTGGATGTTCATCGGGGACCTGGACAAAGTGGTGAACCTGCTGCCATCTTGGTCAGGACTCCTGGCCCGCCTGGAAAACACAGTCAATAACCTGGACAACAAGGTTTCTCCTGGAGATCAGGGAGGTGCAGGCATGGCAAACCTGCATCTGGGGTCTCCAGGGAGCTTTTCTGAGGGTGTGGGGAGGAAGTACAGCTGACTGACCTGCACCTGGGCGCCCCCAGGGAAGCTTTCCTGGGAGTGTGGGCAGTAAGTCTGGCAGCCTTGAGCATCTGCTGACCCCTCATATGGTGGGTGCCGTGGCAGCTACAGGGCCTCCTCTGTCTTAAGCCCAGGAACCAAGTTGCTAAGGGTTCACACACATATCTGTGGGCTGTTGGCTTCTGCATCCCTTCCAGAAAACCTCCGGGCTATTTTCCACGCATCGTTGCAGGTCATTACCCATCACTGCCCCCCTAGCTAGGAAATGAGCTTCACCTTGTCTGCCCTCATGTGTCAGAGGAGCCCCACCAGCACACTGACAGACTACTGTCATGGTGTTAGACTCCACTAGTGTGTGCTGTGTATTCCAGTCTGTGGAGCAGCCTTGAGGAGTTTAGGGCCTGTTCACTGGCTCCCTTTCCTGATGCCAGCAGCTTGGGGTGTTGTTCCTCCCCCTGAAGTCCCTCCCCCCATCCAAGACCTCAGAATCTTGCATTCACTAGAGTCCACCGGCTTTCCTTAGTGTCCCGCCCCCTTGAATCATGTCCGATTCAAGTCCATGTTTGCCTTTGGCCTTCTGACCTGGGTGGTGCTGGTGACTCCATGGGGTCTGGCTTTGGCCTGTGCCGGCAACATTTCATTGTGCCCTCAGGGTGAATAGCACCCCACGTGTGGAGAGACAGACCTCTTGAACTGCATGTCTGCCAGGGGTGCTTGTCAGACCACCACAGGCCTCTTGCTAGGTCAGAGACCAGAAAACATCTGTTTGTGGGGGTCTTTGCTCATAACAACCTTCCAAATGATGGTCTTTGCTGTTAGTAAGAGGCCTAGGGTCCTGCCGAGAGGTGCAGGGAGTTGAGCAACACACTGTGAAGCAATCCACAGCCTTGGGGACAGGAGTTCTATTCCAGCCAGCCAGGGAGTAACTCACATGGCAAAGAAGACCTCTCCTGTCTCACCCACTGCTCCCCTCAACAGTATATATCAGCCTGTCTGCCAGTTCTATTCCCTGCTCTGTCCCTGGTGAATCCTCTCAACCCCCACCCCTGCATCTCTGCCCTGTACCCCAACTCTTGTATGCATAAATCAATAAATATTTAAAAAAAAGTTTAAAAAGAGGCCTAGCAAAAGAGACAAAAATCAAAACAAAGAGAAATCCTTCCGACTGGGAGAACATTTTTGCACCCAACACTAATGATAAAGGACTGATCACAAAAATCTACAAAGAACTGATGAGACCCTACAAAAAACAAAGAAAATAATCCAGTCAAAAAAAATGGGCAGAAACACTCAAAAGAAACTTCTCCAAAGAGGAAATGCAGATGGCCAACAGGCATATGAAAAAATGTTCAACATCAATTGTAATCAGGGAAACGCAAATCAAAACCACAATGAGACACCATCTGACACCAGTGAGAACAGCACATATTAAAAAAAAAAATAAATAAATAAATAACAACAACAAAAACTGGGCCTCCCCGGTGGCCCAGCGAATGAGCACTGGGTTATGAAGCCGCCCACAGCCTCTACAGCACCCGTTTGATCCCTGGTTGCTCCCTGGCCACCGGAAGAGGGTTCCACATGGCACACAGACCTCTCCTGCCGCCCACTGCTCCCCTCAGCAGTGTACTTTGGTCCTTCTGCCTGCTCTACAACGACTCTGGCTCTGGTGAATTCTCTCACCCTCCCATGCTTCTGACTGTGCCCAGTGCTTGTAAAAATAAATAAATTTAAATATATATATATATAAAAACACTTTAAAAAAACAAAAAGCAAACAAAAACTAGCAACAACAAATGTTGGCTAGGGTGTGGAGGAAAAGAACTCTCCTGCACTGCTGGTGGGAGTTCAAATTGTCCAACTATTATGGAGAGTTGTGTGGAGATTTCTGGACCTACTAAACATAGAGTTTCCATATAATCCAGCAATTCCACTCGTAGGTATTTACCCAAAGGACACAGAAACATTAATTCCAAATGGCACCTGCACCCCTATGTGTATAGCAGCACTGTTTACAATAGCTAAGCTTTGGAAACAGCCCAAATGCACAAAAATAGATGACTGGATCAAGAAGATGTGGTACATATACACCATGGAATATTACTCAGCAATCAAAAACAAAAACATGCAGTTTGCAGCAACATGGATGGAGCTGGAAGGGATCACGCTCGGCGAAATAAGTCAGTAAGAAAAAGAAAAGCACCAGATGGTCTCACTCATAGCAGGGATTTAGAAAACCCAAATAAGGGACCAGGAAAAAAAAAAAAAAAAAACTAATACAAAGTCAACAAGCAGCTTTGGACCAGAAACAAACTGCTGGGACTGGGGGGGGAAGACTGAACAGCTTCCCCTGAAGATCTGGGACAGGCAAGGATGCCCATCCTCACCAATGAATTTCAATATAATATGTTAGGTCCTAGCTAGAATAATTTGGCAAGAGAAAGACATAAAATTAAAGAAAAGTAACCTATTATTTTTTGGCAGATGATATGATTATATAAATACAGAGCCCAGAAAACTTATCAAAACGAAACAAAACAAAACAAAACAAAAAACAGTTCAGTAAAATACCAGGTTGTGAAATCAACTCACAAAGGCAAGTAACCTTCCTATATGCAACCAGTCAACTCTATTTTATCTGAGTATTGGAACTTGGATACAGTTGGGTAATTTTATGCATTGCTAATAAGAGCCAATCAAAGTCTACTTGCACATGGGCGATAGTTTCCTTGATTACTTCTGGGTCTTCACACCAATCTCAGCACCATCGGAATGGTAATGATGGCTGGCTCTGAGTTTGTGTGTCTTGTTTGCCTCCATGTGATCAGATGGTCTGCTCTCTCTTCCTGGCCAAAGTTGTTGTGGTTTTACCATGTTGTGAAAAGTCTGTCTGTTTCTGAGGTAGGATCAGGTAGTCAGAGGTGGAGGGGGTCATAAGAACCTGCTTTGTAATCTGACTAAGGTCCACACCTTTCACACACCAAAGGATCTCTTCCAGGTCTCCCCGCAGCAACAGAGTCAGCATTAGGGAAATAATAAACACAACTGGGAATAACTCTCTCAGCTTTAACCTTGCTAAAGTCTTTCAGGGCAGGATTTATAGATTACACACCACATTGGGTATGACTGTATATATAGCTTTCCAGATGCACAGCCTGGAAGATCTTCACTGATTTTCTCATCACACTTCAGGTCAGTTTCTTCTAAACCAACACCTGTACCATATCAAATGTTTTCCATTCACATTAGAATCTAAAGCATTGCTGATGAGTTGAAGAAACATGTAAAGGTAACAAACACCCACTGGCCCATTTACCATATTTCAAATTATTTTTATAGGAGCTAAGGTTTGTTTATGTGTTATTCCTTGCATTTGTTGTAAAATTAAGACTTAAAAAAAGTTATCTGCAAATTTCCCAGAAAGCACAAGGTTTCCCCTTGGGTGTAATGTAGCAGACAGCACCTCCTGAGATCACAACAGAGGGTGCAGCTGGGTGGGAGCTCCCAACTGGGTCCTCACTCTATCAGTTTGTCATCCAATCATCTCTGACAAAGCATTTTTCTGACTGTACACACAGATGACAACATGTCCATTTATGAACTTATTTCAAATACAGAGGGTTCTTAAAATAGCTGGAGGCAAACATGCTCACGGAGCATCAGCTACCACATGCACTTCTCTCCATGCATCACCTGGTCTGTACTTCAAATATCCCTATGTAGAAGGGACTTGGAGTATTGGAACTGAAGAGATGAAGAAACTGAAGCCCAGAGAAACTGATGCACTCCTGAGGGTAGGGGCAGCAATGCGTGGAGAATGAAGTTAGAATCACAGGGTTTTAATCAATATGGTCTCACATGATGTGAGGACACATGGGTGCAGCTCCTCTCCCCTCACACTCCACTCATAATGATAATGTGCAGGGAGCAAACTATAGGCCTATAATCCAGATTGGGGACCCACAGGAAACCAAACTGTGAATGAAAGAAAAGAGATAAAATTAAAGGTTAGTGGAGAAATAGTGTCTCTGAAAGATGGAGTGTGCAGTGATGGGTAGGTGGGGCCAGGTATGGCCACGAGCAGCCAGGAGCAGATATGCTCAGCCATGCACAGCTGGATGTGGCAAGCTGACGCCATGTATGGCCAACTACAAGTTTTGTAGACCAAAGGGTGAGATCAGAATTAGTACATTTGCAGGGGGATTTCTGCAGGATGTCAGCTGCCTGATGTATCAGCCACCCCACAGCCCTACTCATTGAGGAGCTGACTAGGGGGCATAGAGTGGTGTCCTTCCCAGCCTTACAGAAGCACAGCATAGCATGACCCACTGCACGTTCCAGATCCATCCCTAACACTTTACACTGACAACTACTTTCTGTGCCTTCCATGATTTACTGACATCCCCTGACAAGAACCTAGAACTCCTTCATGAACAATGACCATAGTTTCACCTTAAATAAGACAAAAATTCTTGTTTTCTAGGAGCCTTCTGTTCCACAAAATTTCATCAGGCACCTCTTGTGTGCCTAGAGGGGAGGTGTTATAGCAGTTAGCCAGAAAAACCCCTTATTGGTCATGAGGTCCCACTCATGGAGAAACTGCTGCCTGCTTCAGGGGTTCCTTGATGCCCCAGCCAGAGAAGACACTGGCAAGCGGCTAAGCTAGAGGGCCTCACGCCATGGGGCTGAAGACTCCTTGTGCCTCACACCATGGGGCTGAAAATTTAGCATCCCTTTGTTTTTTGTTCTAGGTCATAAAAGGAGAAAAAAATTATGAGAAAGTACATTGGGTAATAAATTGTATGCATCAGCAGACTATAAGTAAATGACATGGAAAAATATCTGTTCAGAAATTTGTTATTAAACAATTTGGCTCACTTGACAATGGGAGACAATTTTTTGTACATGCCTGACAAGCATCCCA